ATCTCACCAAAATTATTTTGGCTAATGTCAAGATTAATCAGTTTGGGTAGACGAGTTACAGAATTTGCAGTCTGTTTCAGAGATTTTAAAGAGTTTTGACTTAGATTTAAAGTTTGCAGTGAAGGCCAAGCATCTTCACAGATTGTCTCATTTAAGCGATTATTTACAAGCAAATTATGATGAAAGTCCAGATACAGAAGTGATGAAAAATGTTTTGCAAGTTTGCATGGTACCATGAAAACTTTAGAGCTTCCAATGGTGAGTCTTTTGAGTTTGTTTATTTGTGACTCCATACCTTCCAGGTCAAGAAACAAATGAAAATTCTGAATCATCATGTTTATTACTGATACTGTTTCAATGAAACTTTGCCCACTGCTTGCAATTTCTTTAGTATCCCATTCTCCTTTCCCCTCAAGCACACAATCAATTATCTCTAACTCTTGTAAAGATGTGATTTCCTTCAGTAATAATGCTATTCGGCTAATATATTGATCTGTGAATGAAGCATCTTTAAAGGTAAGTTTTCGTATCCTAGAAGGAAGTGTAGAGTTCTGCACCAAACTTTTTTTTTCAATATCTAATTTGATTTCTCTCACTTCTAACCAAATGACAGAGTGCAGAAGGTCCCTCACAATTGCTGAGAATACATTAATACTTCTTAGGTTTATGATCATATGACTTATCTTCTTAATCGATTTCAAGCTTCCCGGTTCGTACTGACTGAGATTGCCACCATCAATCCACAACTTGTCGAGAAGCGCAATGCCCTCAAAGTTCCCTTGCCTTATCGTGGAGAACCGTAGGTTGCCCAGGTGGAGAGAGCTCAGGTTCCTCAGGTTAGAAAAGAGGGAGCTTTCCCCCAGGTCTCTGTAGAAGTTCCCTTGAAGGTGGAGGTGCTGGAGCGAAAAAAGGTGCCCAAACCACGCAGGGGACAAGTGAGCCAAGCTGTTATTTGATAAGTCCAAGAGCTCCAGTTTCCCAAGGGAGCTAAATGAGTCCTTGTCTATTGAGCTGATTTCGTTGGACTGCAGCAGCAAGGCTCTCAGGTTCACAGCCTGCTGCAGGTCCTGGGATCCGATGTGCTTTATCTTGTTGTGGGCCAGGTTTAACACCGTGATTTTGCCTGTGAGCCCGGAGGGAATGAAGTCCAAGCCCATGGAAGAGCAGTTGCAAAGCTGAGTGGCATCGCATGAAGGACAAGCCTGCTTCAGCGCTTGCTCTTCAGAGAGGTTTGCAGCTAAGACCATGTAGATGGCCCACACTCGCCAGGTGTGTGTAGTTCTTCGTTTGTGTTTTGTTTGGTTGAACATTTTGCTGTAGGAAACAGAAAGGAGAGAAGGTAGTGTCGATTTTTAGTTTTGAACAGCAACTGGAAAAATTGAAAACCTGTGCAACTTTATTAGGAAGTTCAGATTCAAGTTTTTTCTTTTAAGAGTTATCCTGTGACGACAGTCTTCCTCTCCTACTTCAGCTGCTCAGCCTTGCAAACATGGCGTGCTAATCATCTCTGGACTACAGCCATATCATGTCTCAACAGTCATAAAGGACCGTTCTCAACATCCTGCCTTTTCATATGCACATTGGCTATGGCTCTCGCCTCTTACATCTCTCGTATTACACCTCCTCTCAGCAACAAATCTACAGCTGGACGTTTCAACCCTAAACAGGGGATGATGGTTAGATCATCAATGATCTGGATGAGGGGATCGAGTGCACCCTCAGTAAGTTTGCAGAAGACACCAAGTTGGGCAGGAGTGTTGATCTGCTCGAGGGTAGGAAGACTCTGCAGAGGGACCTGGACAGTCTGCATTGATGGGCTGAGGCCAACTGTATGAGGTTCAACAAGGCCAAGTGCCAGGTCCTGCACTTGCATCACAATAACCCCATGCAATGTCAAAGGCTTGGGGAAGAGTGGCTGGAAAGCTGCCCGGTGGAAAAGGATCTGGGGGTGTTGGTCGACAGCTGGCTGAATATGAGCTAGCAGTGGGCCCAGGTGGCCAAGAAGGCCAACCCCATCCTGGCCTGTATCAGAAATAGTGTGGCCAGCAGGAGGAGGGAGGTGATCGTGCCCCTGTACTCGGCCCTGGTGAGGCCGCACCTCGAATCCTGTGTTCAGTTTTGGGCCCCTCAGGAAGGACATTGAGGTACTGGAGCATGTCCAGAGAAGGGCAATGAAGCTGGTGAAGGGTCTGGAGAACAAGTCTTATGAGGAGCGGCTGAGGGAACTGAGGTTGTTTAGCCTGGAGAAGAGGAGGCTGAGGGGAGACCTCATCACGATCTACAACTACCTGAAAGGAGCTTGTAGCAAGGTGGGTGTTGGTCTCTTCTCCCAAGTAACTAGCGATAGGACAAGAGGAAATGGCCGCCTCAAGTTGCGCCAGGGAAGGTTTAGACTGGATATTAGGATGAATTTCTTCACCGAAAGGGTTGTCAAGCATGGGAACAGTCTGCCCAGTCACCATCCTTGGAGGTATTTAAAAGACATGTAGACGTGGCGCTTAAGGACATGGTTTAGTGGTGGACTTGGCAGTGTTAGGTTAATGGTTGGACTTTATGATCTTAAGGGACTTTTTCAACCTAAATGATACTGTGATTCTATGATTCTAAATGCTCACAGCCTTTGCAGCGTCAGCCTGCCCATCTAGTATGGCTACCCGGCAGGCAAAAGCCTGAACAGAGAGTGTCCCCTTTCTTGGCCCTTTGAGTGGGCTGTGGCTTCCAACACGACAAACTTTTCTGGAAGAGATTTTGGGGTCCCCCACATGGAGTCTCACCAGCCTCAGGGCTTCTAAAAAGCAGAGCTGCGTAGGCTCCTGGCACACCCTTTTACACACTGTGTAAGCAATTTACATTCGTTACTGGAAAGGCAGAACAAGCTGATATGCAACCAAACAAGTCTATCACCCTTTTCTGTAAATCAACACTGGTAATAGATGGGAATTGGATGTTACCGTCACCCTATAAACAGTGGATGTAATTAGAACAATACTGATTTTAATTTACAGAAGGGCTGTGTTTCCTGCCACGGGTGCCAAAGAACATTTCACCATTGGCTACACCAGAAAATAAGTCACTTATTAAAGCTCACAAGCTGCTGTAAACAGTTCCAGTACTGCAGACGAACAGTACCCCCAAACCCTGAATAAGCAGAGAGTAAATACTTACCTTGTGTACTGCATGCTGTGTTTCAGTCTTCTCGTGTGCTTGTCGTGTACTCTGGGATCCAAGTGGTCACCTCATAAGTGCAAGTACAACAAAAGCTGGAAACCCTTTGGCAGGTCTGATGCGATGACGGTCCTGGAGTGAGAAAATATTTCAGCCTGTGCTCCTCAAACAAAACTTTGACAATTTCTCAACGTCTTCTAACTACTCAGCCAGTGAAGCACACCAGTTTGCACAGCTTTTCTTTAGTGGCAGCTCCCCTAAGGAAACCACGGCTTCTGAAGAGTTTGGCATTGGCCGGCACGCATGACACTGCCCTTCAAACTCGCATTTCAACCACTTTTATCACTGCTGCTGACGGGGGACACAAAAATGAGCATAGATTGTGTTTGCACTCTCTTCTTTTCAAGCTGGAATTCAGTGGCAGATCTCTCTCCTTTTGCTAATCATCGCCCGTCGCTGGAAAGGCTGATGCAACCATTTTGCGCAAGTCAGTCTTTCACAATCACTTCCCTCCAGCATTAAGTGCAGAAATAGTTCCTAGGCAGAACTGCATTGACCTCCCTGTATCTCTACTTTCGATACTTATAGTTTGGTATTGATTGATATATATCTATTATACTGACATAATTGTTGGAGTCAAATTGTTTAGTCAAAGAGAGTACTAGAGAAACACTCAGCATCATTTCATTTCCTAGGACACCGCAGTCATATGATATTAACAAATAGAAAATGCAGAAGAATGGGAATGATATTCTGTCTGAAAAAGAAAGTTTGAAAGAAAGTATCCCTCTGTAAACATCCAAGGCAATTTTGAGAGGGGAGGTTTGACGACATTTATTTTAGCCTGACTGAATGGAAACACACAGTTGGTCAAATGCTCAAGCATGCTGCATGCATAAAGGGGTAGGGAGTCTCCCTACCAGCTCTGAAAGGGAAACCCATTAAATTCAAACACCAAACCTTTCTACTGCAGTTTCCATTTTTTCTTCTGTGCGCAGAAATTGTCACGATGTGCTGCCCGCTTGCCAAGAAGTACCTGTCTGAGAGCAGACAGACAGACTGATTCCTGCCACCTGCCACGTGTCAGAGGGCCCACAGCAGCATCTGTGTGCTCAAGGGTGGCAAAGCCCAGGCAGAAGCCCGAGCGCATCTCATAACAACCTTCAGTCCCACTGCGTTGAAATTAGCATCGCACATTAGGTTAAGAACTTGATGCTTTCCAAAAAAAGGAATTGAAAGACTGAGATACCCTTGTATTTTCTGTCTGTTACAGAGGATAGATGATAAGCATAACAACATTTTAAAATACAGACAGAACAGCTGTGGGACACAGCAGAGAAGGGAAATGGTCTTTTAGTGAAGGGATGTCATCAACTTCCCCAAAGCTACCTCTTCCCTCTAGCACCTCTCAGCTGGAATAGTTCTTGTTCTTCAACAGGGAAGACTTTCAGTTTTCAAAATGTTTAAAAATGTTAATTCTGAGTTTCATGTGACTCATTCCTACATGTTTTTAGCATCAAAATTGCAACTCCTTGATAAAGTTAAGTAGAGTCAAATTTGTGAAGAGCTTTGGAAAGGAAGACCACATATGAGGCCACGAACTTCACTGAATGCGAAATGGGCATGCTTTTCTATCTATCTGTTACAGCTTCACCACCATGCATTGGTGGAGACTTGAGGTAGGCACGAGCTATTTTTTTCAGAAGGACCGACTTTCTCCTAACATCCAGGCTCAGCCCACTCTCATCACTCCTCTAAGCTGGGCTGGGTTTCTGGTTTCTCTCAGAAAGAGAAGACTGGTGTGACCCTGCCCATCTTCCCATGCCGCAGTTCACAAACCAAGCAGTTCATTTCAGCAAACTGCTTAAAAATCTGTCCTGGTTTCGGCTGGGATAGAGTTAAATTTCTTCCTAGTACTGTGTTTTGGATTTAGTATGAGAAGAATGTTGATAACACACTGATGTTTTCAGTTGTTGCTAAGTACCCTGCTAGTCAAGGACATTCAGCTTCCATGCTCTGCCAAGTGCACAAGAGGTTGGGAGGGAGCATAGCTGGGACAGCTGGCCCAGCTGGCCAACAGGGTATTCCATGTCATGCTCAGTATATGAATGGTAGACGTGTTCCAGGAAGTAGCGATTGCTACTTGGTTATCAGTCAGCGTGGGTGGTGACCAACTACATTGTGCATCACTCCTTTTGTATATTCTATCATTATTATTATTATTATTGTTATTGTTATTATTTCCCCTTCCTTTTCTGTTCTATTAAACTGCCTTTATCTCAACCCACGAGTTTTTCTCACTCTTACCCTTCCAACTTTCTCCCCATCCCACTGCGGGGCGGGGGGGGGGGAGAGGGGAGTGAGCAAATGGCTGTGTGGTGTTTGGCTGCCTGCCGGGTTAAACCACGACAAGAAATCAGGATGGGCCTTCTGCTTGTTTCCATCAGTAGGGAAAAAAGCCTACAAGCAGCACAACTTCTCTCTCTCTCATTCCAGGTCAATTTACCAGGTTTTATCATGAGTCAGGAAGGTCCGAGGATGCTCAAGGTGGCCAGAAATCCCCTCCACAAGCTGCTCCACACACAGAGGCAAGGTACCAGCCACCTGCCTCCCAGAGCATCAGCTTCCAAATTGAGCTGCAGCCTGGAATCAAAACAACTTCTTTTGAAATCAAAGAGTCTAAAGCAGGAGAAAGCTGCTGTCTTTTAAGGTGAGAATACCATTCATCTGCTTTTTCTCCAGAGTAACTGCATGTTTAGCATTGAACAAAGTTGCACCTTGTGGGTGCTTTTTCTTCTCCTCCAAGTTTAAGCTATGATTATCCTTCCTCTTTTATAGTTTTTTAAAAAAGGCACATGCCTCCACCTGTGCCAGTACATTACTTTTTCCCAGCAGAAGGGCACAGATCTGCAGCAAGCCTATGCTTTTGTAACTGCAAATGTTCCAAGTAGGGACACCACACAAGCCTTTGCCAGCAGATAGACAGGGCTGAGAAGAGCTGCGGTTATCATTTTTGAAGCTCTCTTGCTTTGAATGTTCCTGTTTATCTGACAGCAGCACAAGAAGCACACATTTCCCTCAGCCAGCTCTTCCTTTACACCCAGCTACAGCCTGCTCAGCATCCCTGCCTCCCGCGGCTCAGTGC